GGTTTTCTTTCTGATGTTTGCTTACAAGTATTAATTGTAACTTTGATAAAGTCAAGGTCATAGTATCAATGGAAATACATGTATTTAAAGAATCCTTGTTTAAAAATTTATGAATCATGATAGATATACAGTACACTCATAACTCAAACTTTTTTTTTTCAAAATCACAGGTATTCCGAATGAATTTGGAGAAGCTATGAGAAGCGAGAATGGAATATATAAAGCAGCGACCTACGAACCGTTTAACAAAAATAAACCATATCAAGCAAAGAAATGTTCCACCCCTAAACCTTACAAAGGACACACATACAAACATACCATCAAACCAATACGTGAAAGCAGAGAGTACGAACCCTATACTTATGATCACGTGTACGTTATGTCAAGGATATATCACGAAAAACCAAAGAAAGAGGGACCAGAGAAAACAAAGAAACCGCCCCCCTCAGAAACCGAAAACACCTCCGCCAGTAAGCTCAATTTTTTTAAAAATTTAAATGCAAGTTATAATGTTTCCTCATTTTGTATATGTGTGTCCTATACATTGGAAACACGAAAAAAGGAACAAATAAATATAAATCAATACAAAAATCTAAGCTCTGGAAACAATAAACATGAGTTACATTTAACAGTATTATATTTTGCATAATCAAACTCATGGTATAAATCAAAAACTCTTTTTGATAAAAAAAAAGTTTGTATGAAAGACTAATGTTTATTTTATTTTAGCCTCGCCAGTCCTCGCCTTCTCTACCATACAGTGCTGTGGAAACCATCAAGCGGTCAAATCTGTTATTAGCAGAAGTACGCACATCATCACCGGAACACAGCTATTCTGTGTTCAGCTGACAGGAGATATACTTCCGGTTTTGCTATACGTCTACTTCCAGAACGTGTTGTGTGCAATATTTAGATTTATTGCAAGCATGATATCCCACATATACAAGCAGTGTATATAATACTACTTGAACCCTTAGTATTGATGACTCAAGCAAGTGTTCATAAGCCAAGTCAGTTTCAAGACTTGCATATTGTCATTTGAAATGCTTGAATATGTATTATTTGAATATACATGTAATGTTAGCATTTTTATGACTTTATAGTTCTTTCGTTTATGTATTCCAATGTTTTTTGTCTTTAATGCGAAGAAGATAAAATATTTCACCATTGCCAGTCCAGTGCTTCACTTAACCAGTCCAATATTTCAATACGTCAGTCCAATCTATATGTTACTTTTTCCATGTTACTCTTTCGGTTCATTATTTAACAAGAAACATATGGAGATAACGAACAGTATTTAGGATCAAAAGTCCATAAAACAATACAAAATAGGAGCAGAACAAACACGGACCTCCAAAACATCAGAGGTGGGATCAGGTGCCATGGAGGAGTAAGCATCCCCTGCCGATCAGTCACACCCAAAGTGTGCTCCTTGTCATGATCGGAAAATAACGGAAAAATCCGTCGTTAATTCAGTGTATAAATAATGGACTAACTATTAGTATGAAAAACGTCAGTCAGCATTTGACTCAATGATAAATTGCATTTGCTAACAAATTCATTGTATCGACCATAGAACTTACGAATTGATAACTTTAAACGAGACAGCTTAAATTCTTGTTTCATCAACTTGTTTGTCAATAATTTACCTCGTTTTAGAAATTGTTCATACGTAGAGCATGCTCTTGCGTATCGAATCAACTGAAATATATAAACTCCGTATGCAGGTGATGAAGGTATATTGCTGCATAAGTAAGGGAAGTTGACGATAGAAAAGTTAATGTCATCACGTTTATCATAGAGCTTGGTTGTTAGATTACCATTAACGTCTTTTTCAAGTAAAATATCCAAATATGAAACAGATGTGTCAGACATTGTGGTATCTTTTATCTCAAGCTCACCAGATTATATCGTATCGACATAAGAATGGAAATTGCCCTTGTTAATTGACAATACGTCGTCGATTTATCTAAATGTCGAGTTGAAGGCACGGTAAGTGTTTTCTTCTTTTCACGCATAAGATTTTGCACCAATTCTGCTTCATATGAATACAAAAATAGGTCTGCTAATAACGGGGCGCAATTGGTACACACTGGAATTCCAATAGATTGTTGGAAGACCTGGTCTCCATAAACGACGTAGATATTGTAAATCACAAATCCAAGCATCTTTTTGAAGTCAACATCAGAGTACTTGTGTTTACAATCAGAATGATTTTTAACAAAGTAATTTTGCAAATAACCAATGACAAGGTAAGTAAATTTACGAGTTCCATTTTTACTAAAAAAGCAGCTGTCAATGATATCATAAAGCCTGGATCGGGACTTTAATTAATCGTGGGGAATGGTTGCGTATAAATTTGAAAAGTCGTAAGTTTTAAAGCTGTTGATTTTGGTGATATCTTGTGATTTCAAATTGTCCAAAAGTTCCTTGGAATTTTTAAGTATCCACGTCGGATTTACACCACTTCTTGAATATATTGTTTCACAGTATTCTTGAAGTTTGTCCTTCACTACTGTTAAAATTTTAGTGAGGAGTAAAGAAAGAGGCTTGATTGAACATTTACCGAAACCCGCTATGTATCTTTGTTTGTAAGGATTCTTATGAAGTTTTGGAATCCCGTATATATACTTATACAAATATAACTGCCTGAAGAGCCGAGCATGGCGAAAGCGCTTGTAGTAAATGTTTTGTGATATATTTGGATTTTTACTTTTAAATATATACATGTATATATATACATATATACATATACGTGGTAGATCAAATTCGTTTTGGTTCTTTGGAATATTAAAAATATTCAAAACTGTCATATGATTTTGAAGAATTTCCACCTTAGAAAGGGAACTATGAGTTTAAGTTGGATTACCACTTGCAGAATTAAATCCAAGTTCTTCTAAAATACAATTTATATAATGAGCCTTACAAACGAAGACAATGTTGTTACCTGCTTTGTCAGCAGGGACCAGTACGTACTGATCATGTATAATCTATCTAATTCTTTTCTCACTTCTGGTTTATTGAATACAGAAGGGTAGATGGTTTTCATACTGCCCCTCAATCTTTTAATACGTGATTGTAACATGGATCTGATGCATTTAATCCATTCTGACGAAGTGTCAACGCCTTCTTTTTCATATCTGGCCCATCGTCTGTATGAATGCCAAAAGACAAATCAGTCTTGAAAGAAAATAAATACACTAAAATAGTTTTAGAAATAATAATGGATTATACTATAAATTATAATTTGGTTTATAATCTTAATCTAGATCTACACATGTAAATCAGTGAAAGTTTTGGAAAGCGTTCCAATGTCCGATTTACATATATATAATCACCAGAATGAGCACGCAAGTCACTATGTCACCACTGAGGTTCAGGGCGATGTCAATAGAGCGATGATGTACTTATGCGAAGACGATCGTGCGATGGTACGATAGAGCGATGTTGATTCTATAAGATGGTGATGTCACAACGTTGACGCGATATTCGATTATACGCTGTATTGTGTTATTACACTATTGCCATGGCGCATCGATTGTCATCATCGTCATCGCACCATGGACTATGGATCGAATGTTCGATAGTGAATACTTGGGTCCAATCCGAATTCTTTAGATAAGTACTTTTTGTTTCCTGATACAAACGCTTTGAACGAAAAAACCCATGATCACGTTCAAGTTCAAAATATCATATGAATCTTATTTTAAAAGCCCACGAAAAATATAATTTATATTCACCTCTCACAATTTTTTTCTCCCTTTATTTTCTTTAAAAGACTGCACATTGACTGTTTGAATGATGACGATATTTATAAATCATTAAGAGCAGCTTTGTAATTGTTTTAATTGTTGATTTAAAAAAAAATAACAAAAGAAATCAGCCATCCCCAACAGAACTGTTAAATTCCTCGTCCCAGGATCTTTATCATTCAGTGTTATAGCTGGTGTAGACCAGTCAACAAAGAGCCACGGTATGGCTGAATCGCCAAAACATGGGGCGGTTTTTCTTGGGATCGCCAAAAGTAAGTAAAAGTAGTATTTTCATATGGTTTCATTATGATATCTGTACGTTTGGTAGAAATCTATCATATACATGCATTTTAACTTTCTTTGTCTCGACAACCTGAAATGACAAAATACTAGTATCTTATTCCTTACGCACAAATTTGTCGCTGATGAAAGTTAATATCTTGGCAAAAATCTTCAATGCTGTGGATTCAGGACAATTTCTTGTAGCCAATTTTCGTGGATTGCTTAAATATTACTGGTTCTTGGGAGTGAAAATTCGAGTCTTAAATGAAAGAAGGAGATATGAACTCTTAGTGTATGAATTCGTGGAGGATGTAAATTCACGAATTCCACGAATATTGAACCACCGCAAAATTTATGGTATAATTATGTTCTGTAGGCAATTTGAATCAAGATGGTCGCTCAGACATGTTGGATTCTAGAACTGGAATGTACAAAACTAGAGAATACAAACCAAAAAAGTATGTACCAACAATACGAGAGTACAACCCAAAACCAAGAGAATTCAAGAGGCGGGAGTATGTGCCAAGAACGGAAATAAAATTTCACGAGTACGACAAGATCCGGGAATATGATCATTTTTACGATGTGGAACCACCAGAGGACGAAACGAACAGACGCCCCGGGGTAGGTCTAATTTTCACCGGAGACATATTTCACTAAATTGCTAATAAGGCAAGTTCTGAATGTTAATGTCAGTTCATTAATTTTATTTAAATTTCATTGGGGTTATTATTTTCTTCTTATCATACAAATTTACACATTTGTATAGTGTTAAAGAAATCTTAAGCTTTTGACATCAACTTCAAGACCCTGAAGTTGAAATCCAAGCCTTGTACTGATTACACCACTTTAATTTATATACTGTATACAGGGTTATTTTCGCCCCTATATTTACTTTGCAAGAACCACAGTGAGTATGCAACGTTCATATACATTATTTTGTTGTAAGGGAACAACAAAATATTGGCAAAACTTGTCTATAGAAAGTAACGATTGTCCCCCTTTCTCGAACCATGGCGGGACCATAATAAAAGTTGTTTTTTTTAAATTCTTAAAGTAACATGCATATTGGGGAAAATCTTATCAAAAATTCTCAGTATTACAAATTGGATCTACGTATTATATTATATACACATACATATAGCTCTGTCATTGTCCGGAGTCTGTTTATATCGTGCGGAGCCTAGGTAAAGAATTGAAAGTACAAAACAAAAACAAACAAAACAAAAACAAACAAAAACCTTAAAATTAGAAATTCTTTAAATGATCGTAAGAAGGACAGATTGACAGTATAAAGGGTTTGCATACATTTCAAACAGTATTATTTAAAATATTTATCACACTATGAAAATAAGTTTGTACACGTCATACGTCATAACTTCTTCATTTCAGATGCTAATACATTGTACTATTATGTAGTAAATGAAAAAAAGGCTCAACCGGGATTCGAACCTGGGCCTTTCACATGCGAAGCGAGAACTTTTTCCCTCGTCCATCGACGAACTTAAATCCAGTTAAATAAAAACAATGGGTCACATTCATATGTTGACTTCACCTTCTACATTGTTAAAATTAAAAAAGAAAACGAGTGTGTCTAGTTTACCCTCTACTAAACCTTTTGACTTAAAAAATAGGCTTCTTAGGCCGTAGGTAGTTGTCATGTAGAATTTAATCGCAAAAGTTCAAAGGCATCTCGAGATATCGCTTGGAAATGAAAGTGTAACAGTCAAAAATACAGCCCAACGGAGGGACGGACAGAAGGGCGGTGGGGAACAGAATGAGTTATGGTATAATGTTTAATTGCAAAAACTCAAATGCTTTTAGAGATATTGCCCGGGGATGAAAGTTTGATAAACACATACATAAAATGTATGAATTTGCGACCTTGACCTTTGACCTTTTTACCTCAAATTTAATAGAGGTCTTCTTTAAGCCATAGCGAGTTGTGATTTTAAATATTGCAAAAGCTAAACGGTTAATCGATATATCTTGCGGAAACGAAAGTGTTAAAACAGAATTGCTTTAATTTATAACTGATCTTTGACCTTTTGACCTAAAAATTAATATGGGTCTTTTTTTTAGGCCAAAGGGGGTGTAAAATTGTGTAAAATTTCACTGCAAAAGCTCAAAGGCTTCTGGAGATGTTGTATGGAAACGTTTCAAGCGTTACGCACAGACAGAATTGACTACAGACGGACGGACAAACAGCTAGACGGACAGACCGACCGAAATTAGATATATCAATTCTTGTATAATTCAAAGTAAAATATACAAAAATTCAAAATTTTTTGTTTTGGAATAAGTGTACAAAAGTATTTAATCTATTTATAAATAGACATTTTAATGTAGCACACAGTTCCAGGCTCTACTGACGGAGTATTCGAACTCTTCAACTTAAGGGAAACATATCCCACCCATATTACAGATTTTGATTAGAACATACATGTATTTGTTTTTTAACTTAAAAACATTAATTTTACTATTTTTATACTGTATCTATCTCTCAGCTCACTCTCTCCCTCACACTCTACCAACACACACACATACAGTATCTCTCTCCACCCTCTCTCCACCCTCTCTCTCGCCCTCTCTCTCCACACACACTTTCTTTCTTTCTCTCCCCAAACACACTCTCTCTCTCCCCACTCCCTCTCCCCACTCTCCCCACACATACTCTTTCCCCACTCACTCTCTCTCCCCACATTCTCTCCCCCCCCCCCACACACTCTCTCCCCCCACACACTCTCTCTCTCTCCCCCCACATCTCTCCCCCCACACACACACTCTCTCTCCCTACACACTCTCTCTATACCCACACTCACCCCACACACACTGTCTCCACCCACACACACACTGTCTCCCCACACACACTCTCTCTCCACACACACTCTCTCTCCCTACACACTCTGTCTCCCCACACTATACCCCCACACACACTCTCTCTCACTTCACACTCTACCCACACACACTCTCTATCCTCTTGCTCACTCTTCTCTCGCTCTCTCCTTTCTCTCGAGAGCGCATTTTGACAGAGTTATCTTCTCCCCACTCCAAACAGGAGTAGGGAGTCGACGAGGCATAGGAATAAGGCAGGTAAAAAGAAAAGGAAAAGTTTCCCTTTCATTTTTTCCCTATCCCATGTCTCCCTCTCCCAGCAGAATTTCTCTCACACCACTCTCTCCCTCTTTCTTACCCTCTCTTTCTTTTTTTATTTTTTTTTATTTTTCAGCTTTACAACATATTCGTCGTAAAAAACTTTATGTACGGAAGCTTTATTAAAAAGTAATAGTGTTTAAAGTCTGGCTTTACTATTATCTCTAAATGTGCGTTATTGGTTAGTTAGATTCATACTATATCACACAATAATTTCTAATTATGATTCTTAACATTCTTGAAAAGTTAATTTTCCCAAGAAACACATCTGTGTATTTCTAATCAAGAAATAAACCATAGAAAATTGATTACAACGCATACAGAACGTTTACGCTAAGAATAGAGCTATTGAACCACTAGAAGTGCCATGTGCTATTCCATTTCCTACTTAAACATTGTATGTGTATGTCAGATTTTCAGTAACTGTTTAAAATTGTTTTGAAACTTTTATTGGTAATTAAAAAGACCTAGTACATGATATAAACCTACTTGATTATTCACGTATGGGTTGCAAATTTTATTTTACTGTAATTTATTTATAATGATATGACAATGAATATAAACTAAATTAAAAGACGTATATCAATAGTGAACATGTCAATACATGTGTATAATTCATATTGATTCTATTTCCTTTGATAGTTGTGTGTAAAACATGTTTTTTGCCATAAAGGACTTGATATATATGTATTACTAGTATTTGGTTTACTCGACTGACGATTTGGTGTTCACTAAATCGCCTCCGGTGTAACACTGCCGCCTTTGCGTGATCTTCCTGAATGGGGTGTAAATTGGTTGATTATTGGACCAATCAATTATAGAGTTTTTTAAATTCCAAGTCATTCTTTTAAGGAAGCTCTAAACACTGACAGAAATCGCTTTTTGGACTTTGAGAAAAATATATCATATAAAGGTGTGCATACTGAGGCTTTTTCATTCATTTATAACATAGGATACGTGCCTTATTTCCGCAGGAAAAATGTTCAAAAGTAATGGACTTTTTTTGAGCTGAAAATATTGCTGTTTACTTACACTGGGAAAATAAATGAAAATAATAAATTCAATTACTTATTCTTGATCTTATATAATGCTAAGCATGTTTTAATCTTTTACAAAACGTGTAATTAATTATAAATACCAATTTTTAGTAATCTTACTTCTAAGGGCAGATCACTCTAACTGCATAAAACTACCCTATAAAAGAAGCTCTTCAGTGTGCAGTGTTTAGAGTTTCTTTAAGTATTGAAGTTATGGAGAAGGCAGGGGTCAACATATTTTTTTATAAAATGTTTTACGGTAGATTCATAAGACAAAAATAAAGTGGGTGTATTTGAATGTACATGTAGTTGCTAGGGAAATGGGTGAAGGGTGGAGGGGGGGGGGGGGAGTATTCACTCGACAAAAAACATCTTATGAAACTAAGACTACATTTTATTACATTCTAAAAAAAATCATATTAAAGATTATTGGACAGATAATACAATTAAAATCACCTTGAAATCCCAGCCAGATACAAATTCTATTACATGTATTCAGTACCCCTGTAAATACACGTACCATATATAGAAAGGTAAAGTGTCCAATTTCAAAGTGATTTTTAAATCAGGAACTGTAGATAAAGGATAGTAAGAGATAAAAAATAAAGAAAATCATATTAAATTGATATTTACAAAAAAATCATAAAAGTGGGGTACTTTGAAAAAGGAGGGTCCTGTCCATAAAAACCTGTGATATACAGGCCCAGAGATGCCAATGACGACAACCTTCCCTCTGTTTTCCTGGTTTCGAATCAATTTTTCAGTTAGTATATATTGAATCAAATGCCCATTACTGTTGCTGACTTTAAAATCTGCAGGTCAGAATTATTGTAGAAATAAATTATCTACATTAAAAGTCTTTCCATCCTCACAATTTTAATGGGTTAAAGAATACAAGCTAATGTAAAAAAAGAAAAAAAATGTATCCCCCGCTAAAAATGTCATATTTACTATATATACTCTTTTTATATACAGTAAATATAACATTTTTAAAACGTGCTAATTTCGGCGAATTTTTGTTTTTATTTTAATGAGAATATTCAGAAACACATTGAAAAACACATAATACACAAAATACACCATTCTGTAACCAAGCGCCTATGGGTTAAGTGATTCCTTAGTGCCGCTCTGCTCTGCAAGCGATAAACAATGATTTTATCTTGCGGCACCTATGGCACGCCAATTTCACAAAAATGAGCTAAACATAGTTTCACAGTTGATAAACTAGGTTATCGACTGTAAACTATAGCTTACAAACCGTGAACTATAGTTAACAATTCCTCTGTAAAACTATATTTAACAGTTGTTAACCATAGTTTACGAATATCACATCACATTCTGGATCACAGTGTGTCTAGTTCATTCATATACTAAGTACTGTAAATGTATTATATTTAGCGTGTACGACATTTGGCAGAAATTGACTTTTGAATA